CACACACACACACACACACACACACACACACACACACTTATTGGCCTACACAGTATTTCTATATTTCAGTAAAAGCAGAAAGGTCATTACATCCCTCTGAAACCCACCAAATGTCAGTTCTCTAACCTTTACAAATGCCACTCTGATTCATTCGTGCAAGTGGCTTTCTTTTTATCCCCATGTCTTCATGTTCCGAGGATTAGACGCTGTGTTTAGTGTCAGTGTGAACTCTCTAAGTGGACCTATGAAGTTACATCTGTAACTGTGTTTGCAACGAAAATGACCGATTCGTCTGAACTTTATTGCTTTATGACTCCAGCAGAGCCATACAGCTGGTAGCGCAGAGCTCAAACAGATCCCTCTACAGTCTGTTATTTGAAAACAGGCCTAATGTAGACGCACGTCGAGGTTTGTTGTGTCTTTTTAAAAACAAMGTCCAGTTTGTGGAGCATTCAGCTARCCGAGTCGTACCGAAACATTCCCGTCATATTAACACCATGACATCGAGGCAGGGCAGTAAAAGAGAACASAGATGGTGACATTTTGTTTGTCTATTGACACTTGAGCATTATTTCAACTTGGCCCTACTCGGCCCAGTTCAGAGTCGTTCCATCAGGTGGGTCCCGCCCACTTTCAGCTTTGTTCGTAGGGCCTAATCAGCCAAGGTTCTATGTGAGCTGAAGATTTGACATCAGCAGACAGCATGAGTCCTTATTTTTGGTTGATGACAAAACTCAGATGGGGGTTAGACTAGATGGACTGAATTTACAGCCTCTGATTGAAGGAAGAAAAAAGTGGCGTCAATACAGCATTTTTGGAACTAATGGCAGAAAACAGTGAGTGTTTTATGGTTTTATTTCTCTTCTCTTCTATTTATTCATTTATTGGTGGTAAACCAAAACTATTAAGACTGTGTAAACATGAGTCGGGCTGAATTAGGGGGAAGCGACTAGTGCTGAGGCTGGACCATGAAGCGCAGCAGCACTGGCAGCACAAAAGCAACAGCTGCTGCAATTACACTTGCAAATAGCCACAGTATTCCTTTAAAAARTTATACTATGGTGAATGTTCTGGCCCAGTGGGTAGTAGGGATGTAACGATTCACTCAAGCCCTGATTTGATTATCGATTTTAGGTTCACAATAATGAATTATGTTCAATTATTTTGTTCAACAAAATGAATTGTAGCRGTTTTATAACCAAATACATTTCTTTTTCCATCAGTATTTTTGTCCTTGTATCAAACTGTAACTGCCTGTTGTCTTAATACCAGAATATAACTTCAAAATAATAAAAATGTCGCCACAAATCTTTTCCTGACCAAAAGTGATCAAGTATCAAACTGAATTTGTCTTAAAGACATAACTTACTGTTTTACAAAGACAATTAAATCGATTCATCCATTTTTATGAATCKATTCACATTTTAAGCAGTTATAATAGATTATTTATTGATTGTCGATTAATTGTTACATCCTAGCGGTTAGGCAAGATGTCTTCCAATTGGAGGACCAAGTGTTTGATCTTCAGGCTCCACAAGGAGAAGAAATKATTTTAGGTATGTCACCTCTTCAGACCAACTCCACTTTAGTATTGGCTGAAACCAAAGAGTTTYGTTTCTATCCACACAATAAACATCCATTATTCATTCCTCTCAGCTGTGTTTTGGGTCCAATAAACTATTGATGACCRGTAACTACGGTGTTTWTTATGAGTTGTTCAACRTCTTTGCTGCTCAAATTGAAAAGAATCTGTTCTGTTGAAACCAGAAAACTTGGATCAGGACAATTAAGACCGTATGTTCACAACGCAGGTCTTAATGATCAATTCAGAACTGGATTGGATTGATTGTGAAGGTGATGTGCAGAGATAACTTAATTATTATCTGATGCAACTTCCTGCCTACTCAGGTGTAAAATTACACTTCTTAAACGAGAGTTAGTAAGTTAGTTAGTTATAATAAAACCAAAGACCTTCAAGATACTGAGGAAATCCAATGATTTGAGACAACTTTCATGGTACTTGCTTCAACAGAAACTGAAGGATTCAGCTGTAAAATATATATTACTGTAAAACTCTGTGCTTTTGACTGAATTCCATTAAAATTCATGCACATTCAGTCCTTTGACAGTGTCCTTACATGTCCTTGTACTTTTTTCCTCTGAGAATTAATTACCCAACCTGCAAAGGTTGTTCCAAATATATACTGTAGTTAATATCCTTGCAGAGGGAAATGATGGCATGAATTTATCAGTGCCTGCTCTCCTGGTACTTTGCTCCTCGGGGACCTCTGCTGCCATTTTAGGTCTCATTATTCTGATGACTCAAGTGAAACCTCACAGACCCCAGACGCTGTCAGGCACAAAGGAAAGCATCACGTCCTGGAAGTTACCATTTTTGTAAAGGAAAAACTCCAAAAATAGCACAAGAGTTCAGTCTTAAAGATCCCAAATTGTGCTAAGATTCAACAGACTGGATTTCACTGATATCACACACACGTCACAGTTTTGTTTTTATTTTCCAACTGAGCCATTCAAAACAGTAAGATGTAAGAAAATAGTATCAGGAAGTAGCACCAACTTAGAYAAACACCAACGATGATTTGAGTCGACAGTTTTTGAGCCGACAGAGGTTGAAATCAATTCTACTTACGATGGCTTTGCACCAGAGGCAACGCCAGTCCTGCAGCCGCCGCACGCTGCCACAGTTCCTGTCACACACCACGCACTTGGCACTGACCGGCAGGTTGCCTTCCAACCACTGGTGCGGCATGGAAACCTGGGAAAAAAGAARAAAAACACAGAGAACAAAATCAGTGCTTTTCTTGAAGATTATCTAAACAAAAAACATGGAAAGTCAATAAAATAAATACGTTTTGTTAAATCTATTAATGTCTTAATTTTGTTTCATTATTGATTTAAACTCAAAATGTTTTCAGATCGTATTTTAAAAAGAGATTTTACTTTAAAAGTGTTAAAAAAATAGGTTGAACCTCTCACCCCGTCCTCATCCTCGATGATGTCATTTCCTATGGAGGCCAACGTGGTCCATTTGCAGTTGTTGGTGGAGCGAACAGCACAGCGCTTATGAGCCTTGAACTTACAAACTGTACAGGACAAAAAGGAAAAATCCCATTTTCAGCAGAATGGACTTGAATATAATCCATGTGCAACCAGTGAGTTAAGGATTTGTTTTTTTATGAGTTTGACTGATTGTAAAACTGAAACACTGTAAAGTAAAAAAGGGCGGCTCTTGCGCTTAATCATTAATCAGGATGTGGACGTTGACTGAATATGAATATGAAAGATAACTGCAGGTCAGTYTTTGCTGGAGGCAGATTTGCAACATAGGGCCCTTTTACACAAGGTTAGTTTGATCTTTGAGGAAACATTTAGAAAATAAATCATATTTTTATTTAAGCCTGACAATAAAACTTTGCGTGGGTTTGGATTTTTACTGCTAATGTAAAAAAAAGAAAGCTAAACCTGAGATAAATCTGTCTCACCTTGAAACAAAGTGTCATAAATCCACTTATTTGCTGTCAAGAGAAAGTCCTAAATGCAAAGTAATGAAATGATCATAATAACATTTATTTTTGGTAAAAATCAAAACAGGTGAACTTCAAAAATCTTTGGTTAGATGGCAGCAGACATAACTCCTAACTTCACAAGCTGCCGACCTGTTAAGCTAACTCCTAGCTTCAGGCAGCCAGCTGAGCATTGCAGCTCTTTGCTTTGTTTCAGGTAAGCTTTTCAGCTAGCTTGTGCACTTTTATAGTTAGCTGGCTTTACAGAGCACAAAAATAGCTTTTCTTTAGATTTTTTAAAATAAGTTTATGTGTAAAAGTTGAGAACGATTAATATTTTATCTGTTTAAAAAATCTCTGTTTAGAAAAACTAAGTTTAATTCAGACAAATAACAAGCTAACGGTTAATTAGTCAAGACCAAAATGAAAAGCTAACATCCTAAAACTTCTATCTCAAAAATATCATAGTAGTTCTTGTAGGAAGTGTTCTAGGCTGCTGCAGTATTTGTTAATGGTCATAAAAYGCCTTTTTTATTGKTTTTTTTTYCTTTTTTTTAGATTTAAGCTTATTTAAATCAGAAGCACTTTAGTATTTGTCCTGTTCAGATTAGCAGTTGGTTCATCAATTTAGTCAACATTAGGCATTTCATCAAACTGAAGCTGTTCAATAAGAAATCTACAAGTAAGATATTGTTTGTTTGTAACTTCTGACCACTCCCTATAAAGCCACACATCACAAGCACTTGGTTCCTTCAGAGGTCAACGTAGATCAAGTTGTTGTTTAGTCTTCTAAGGCAGCAGCTGGAGCTTGAAGCMGAAATCTGAAGCCAAAGCTCTGATGGCTCGCTTTGCTTTATCATGCAGCACTCACAGAGACGTCTCATAAAACATTCAGATTAAACAGGTTTGCCAGGAAGAACTTTAAAACGAAAAGCTCACAGATTGAATAGAAACGTTGCATTTGATGCGCATAGTTCTCATCTAGTCGCTTTACAGAAACAACTATTGTTACTTAGCTGAACCTTCCAATGAACACATAATCAAATGTGTGAATCCAAAAGCACAAAAGTCATAGCTGGTGTGTGTGTGTGTGTGTGTGCACCTTCACAGGACAGGCCGTGGGAGGTGACACCTGGCAGTGCTTCTCTGCAGACGTTGCAGAAGGTCGGTCTGGCGTGCGAGCAGGCGTACCAGTTGTGCATCCCAGAGAAATGCTCCATGTTGAACTGACTCGCCTGACAGAAGACACGTGAAGAATTAGGGGGACAATGACTTCCTGTGGGTCACACTGACCTCAACAAGGGTAAATTAAACTCTGTAGCTTTGGAAAGCAGACGTACGAGGTGTTTTGACTACGACTCAGACACTATGACCAACGGGAGCAGTCTGCTGTTGTGGTTAAGGTGTTAAGGCAAGACAAATGAGATAAAACGTCAGCTACAAGCATCTGTGTAAGTCTAAAAATTGAGGCAAAATAAACTCTGCGTGAACAGCAGGTTACAGTCTTGAGCTCTTTTTACAGCCTGTAAACAGCTCCACTTTTATGAGCAACATCAATCTGTCAAGGAGGAGCTGAAATGAGAAGAGCGGAAATAAAAAGGCTGAAGGGACAGAGAGGAGGTGGAGAAAGAGGAACAGGTGCACACATTAAGAACCAATCAAGTGTGAGCACCTTCCTCAAAACAATCAACCTTCGTCAGTTTGGTCCAACAAAACAAACAAACAAACAAACAAACAAACAAACAAACAAACTGAAACAGAGAGATGAAGCCATTAGGAACACATACTTCATAGGTTTCCCACTTCTGGACAGATTTTAGGGCAGTGATCCAGTCCTCCATTTCCTTCCTGCTCTCGGCACAGAGCATTAGTTTGCGAAAAGGTGTGATGACCTGAATAGGAACAAAAAAAAGAAAGAAAGAAAAGAACACAAATGAATAAAAATCTGAGCAGTGAACATTTTTAATCAATCAGTGTGGTTTGTTTCCTAAAAAACATCTGCAGGAGTCTCAGGAAGTTTTATTACTACCATTTTTTCTGCTTTTGGACCAAGTAAAAAATCTAAATTTTGGGCCATTCCCCCAAACCCCCCCTTTGATGACACCTCGGGCAGTGAGACTATGCAAGGTGTATAATTTGTGTATATATTACTGAGCAAACCTCATTAAGAGGATGATTTATGATCAGACTAATAAAAAGAAAATCTACAAGTGTGTCGAGAGAGCTAAATTTATACACTTTTGAGAAATCAACCAGCAAATAATCTTAAAAAGGGCAAACCAGAGGACTCATTAGTCAGAAACTTTGTTGGTAAAGATTGTGACATTCATGACATTTGGTCATAAAAACATGACCAGTGCTGCCTCTACTACTGAACAAGGAGGGAGCCCTCCTAATAAAATCTGCAATCCCCACACCGACGAAAGCTCTGTTTCTTCCAGATGGGATAGAGACCAAAGACAGAGCCCCTTCTTCTCCACATGTGCTTTAAGCCCTCATCTATAAATTTGAGGGGTCGTATCA